TTCGGAGATTTTTCACTGGTCCAAATCAAAGAGAACTGCATCCATTTTCCTTCCTTGGGTGGCTGCAGCCAAGGCCCTAGGTGAATTGTGGCACCTAGAATGCTGGGTGGTAAAACAAGCAAATTTAACATCTAATGCCATAAGTGCCCTCCTAGAAGATGAAGAAGTTACCAGGCAGGTGACACTCCAAAAGTGTGCAGCAATAGACTTTCTCCTGTTGCTCCACGGGCACGAGTGCCAGGAGTTCAAGGGTCTCTGCTGCATGAATCTGACATCGAAAGTTCCTACCATCCATGCCACACTCCAAGAGATGAAAAGCATGATTGGACAAGTCAAGCAAGAAGCAGATGACTGGTTTAATGGACTGTTTAGAAACTGGGGACTCTCGGGGTGGTGGGCTTCAGTAGTGAAAACTATTCTGTTGCTGCTAATCATTATTTTGCTAATGGTGTTAGTGTTTGGAGTTTTAAGCAATATACTGTACAGAAGCATAATTAAGCTGATCTCAACTACCTCAAGATGTCAACCATGTAGAGCTGGCAGACCAGAGTAACCTTCACCGGCCTGCAAATTGGAATTGGTGGGCCACTTCAGGTCACTAAGTCATATAAGCTCGTTACCTTTCATTAATTATATATTACAAAATAGGGGGAGATGTGGTAGTGCACATTCCTGGGCGTTCCTTAGTTTCTGTGTAAGCCCTCCCCGCAGCTGTGATGTGTTTTTCCCTTCCCCTCCCTGTCCCTGCAATGTTATCCCATTGGTTGGTGTTATATGTCTCCCTGCCCCTCTCCCGACGTTTGAAAATTCCCGGGAAATGTTTCCTACTTCTCTTTTTCCTCCTGGATCCCAGCCTGAATAAACATCCGACGTTATCCCAGATGGAAAAGCAGCACTTTGGTCTTTATCCTGGTCGTGAAGAGCCCCCCTGCCCTCCCCTCGACATAGGTAGCCAGGATTACTTTGGGAGGGACAGAAGGAGGGTTACTTCAGGTCAGGTAAGCTGTCTTGTTCAGCTGCTCAGGGATTTGACATCAGAGTGCTGGGGTATATCTATCCTATTACAATAAACTCAATGCGTGTATAAACCTTGTAAACCTGTATTTGCCGAACTAAAGTCTTAATCTGCTGAAATAAAGCCTTAATTTAATTATTTAGCTGTTCACTGTGAAGTGGCAACATGCTTTAGATTAAGTTATTAAAAGAAGGTGATCTGCACCATTTGTTAAAGGCAAATTATGCACATCCGAAGTAAAAGCCTCTGGTAACAAGCTGATGAAGCATGCTGAATTTCTAAATATCTGAACTAGAAAGGGGCTACTTGCATGTTATCAGGGCTTTGCAGGTAGACAACTTAATCACATGGATTAGGAAACAAATATAATGTTTTATACAGTAAATGTAACACAATACATACCATAGTCACCTGTCAGACTGGGTCAGGGAGGTCTGAATCCCTGATCCTGGGGGTATGGCAGCAGCTGTACATAAAAAGACTAAAACCTTGACTGAAACCATTCACTAAAATATTTTATAATCTCTATTTGTAATACAAAGGATTAAGTAGAACACAGAAGCAAATGCAAAGTAGAATGACATTAATGAAGTGCTGATGCCTTGTAAGACAGAATGAATAAATATACAAAAGGCTGTGTATGCTCAAGTTGGGAGACAGGGAGAAGAGACAGAGAGGCCCAGGAAATGGTCATTCTTACTAATTAGTTTCTGAAAGGTTCAGCACATAAACAGCAAGTTATGGCATCAAAAATTGATGATAGAACTGCTGGGAAGGGTGGGGAGAGGAGGGAGGAGAGAGGACGTGCTTAAAGCAAAGCAGTGAAGCAGCAATATATTAGAAAAAACTGCTGTGAAGCAATTGCACACCACTAATTTGATCTCAAAATCTTAAAAAAAAGTCTATAAAAACATAGAAGATAAAGAGGAAGATGGAACAGATTGCAGCATACATCAAAGACTGGTGTTTCCAAGCTAAGACAGCTTTTTTTCAATTATAAAGAAAGTGGTTTTCTAAATATAGGGAACATAGCAGGTTTCACCAATCTAGGCTGCAATACAGACTTGATACACACTGCAGCAAGATGAGAGGCAGTCTTTTGCCAAAAAAGCAAATGTCTATCAGCAGGAATGATTCATGTCTGGGCCAGGAAGCAAGAAGAAATTGTGGCTCTGCTTCATGTAGACAAAGAATCTGCGAGAGATTTAATACAAAGCTCAACATTCAGAGTCACAGCTAATCTCTGGAGAGGAGGCTCTTAGAAAGAGATGTGTGCTGAGACCTTAAGGAAAACAAGGAGAGAATCAAGAGAGCACAGTAAACAAGATAGGAAAAAAACAGAGAAGAAACATGGGGCTTTGTTAGCATTCCAGAAAAGCCAGTTTTTAGTTTTGCTCTACTTTCTAAGTGCAAAGAAGTCCTTAATTCTGTATACATGAAGGAAAAGTAAGAGGAGAAAAGCTCAGATCTAGCAACCAAACCTAGAAGATCCAATGGAGATTGTGCCACAAGGATCCTAGTCTTCCACCGGACCAAAAAACAGCTGTAAGTTTCCCTTTTTGTGTCTCTTTCCTTGCAAAATATAAATGAACATTCCTTGAAGTATCTACCGCTTTCTGTTTGTTTTGTGAAAAGCACATTTAGGCTACAGTTCTTAAAATCCCATCTCTTCCCAGCCACTTCCATTACAGAGTTAGTGGGGGAGAAAAAGCCTCTTTTCCCTCCTAAAATTTGGGACCAGCAGCTCTCAAAAGTTGTCCATGATGTGCCTTGCAGGGTCAAACAGTAGTGTTCATTTTCCCTGACATATGAGAACCTAGACACATTACAGGATTTTTCTCATCCTTTTGAATAATATAAACTGTAATGCCTTATAAGGCAATTTTCAAAGGAGTTAAGTAATTGCTTTTTGCAGGTACTCATTAAGATTTGCTCAAACATCTGGGTACCAAAACTAAATTGGCAGCAAGCTTTTTTTGCCAGACTGCTTGCTAAGGAAGAGAACTTGCAAGAGAAATTAGTTTACCAGCTCTGTAACTTTTGGCCCTAAAGTTTATCAAGAGAATGCACACACAGAAAATTCCATATACAAGCAATCAGTTGTCTTTGCACAGCCAAGCACCTAGGAGGCTTCATTTTGGAGTAAGCAGCTGTATGCAGCTAACTTCCCTGGATCATCCAGGCACAGGGTACAGCTGCTCAGTCCATGCAGTGCCATGCTTTCAAAACACAAGTGAAATGAAATGCAAATGAAAAATGCAGTTATCTTCAGTTTCTTTAATATATTATTTCATCCAACAAATTCTATTTCACTGCAGAGGCAGGGGAAAGGTTTCAGAAGAAAACAAGCACACAGTGTACTTTAAGACAAGGCAAAGACTTCAAGGCCTTTGTAATAATATTAACTTCATTTTTCTCAGGAAAACTAATACAGCTGAAAAGCCAAGATTCATTTCCCTAGAATGGTTTATGTCCTACTACTCTCTGAGAGTTATTTCATTGTTACCCCTTCTCTTCCACCAGAAGAGAAACAACTGAGTATTTAAGAATAAAGCTAACTGTAAGAAAACATACTGATTAAATACTTAGCCTCCATGATCTAAGAACTTCTAGTGCTGACCCTGCAGGCAGGAGTGTTTGAATGGGACTTTGCAACATGCCAAGTGTGCTGGAATAGTCAAAAAGCCCTGTGGACATGGGTACTCCGCTTCTCTCTTAATGGGAGTTTGCTGTCAATCCATATATCCTGGAGCTTATGTGAAATTCAAGGGTGTTTTACTTTTAACTGCATTTCTGTGTGTTTTTCTTCCCACCAGCAACACACAGACCAGGCCTGAGTAACTAAACATAGGAGGTTTGCTTCCACCTCCAGGGTGGCAGAAGGCACATGTCACTCCCTACTTTCCATGCATAAAGCGGGAGGCACAGAGAGAGCTGAAGGAGAAGGAAAACCATGGTTCTTCCTCCTTTGCAGCATATATTTGCTGATGACGAATATGTTTGCACAGGGCAATACCTTGAATTGCGTGCTCTGATGAAGTACCCCTGCCTGCAGCCAGGGATGTGGTCATGGAAGCACACAACACTTGCCACAGCCACAGCAGACATTTTCATTCCAAGTAAAGCTCAAAAATTCAGCAGTGACAGGGAAGAAGCACCCCAGACACATTCAGCTTTTTCCCCCCGCCCATTGCTTGTTCTAGGTCAGACCCTGAATATGGGCTCAGCTCCCTGTGAGAGGCAGTGTGTAAAGGTGCTTCACTTCTGAGAGTGCACAAGGAGGGCAGTGGTGGGATGTTCTGTGGGCAAAGCCCCTCTTGGCCCGTGGGGAGCCATCTGAGGAGCCACTGGTCCATGCCATCAGCCAGACATCCCATCCCATGCATCAACTTGGGACTCATCAACAGTGTGAAGAAGGTAAAGCGGTTTGCAAGCACCATATGAAGCAACCTACAAATGGTTTAATGACAGAACTTAATTTCTCAGCAATTTACTCAATGAAAGCTCTAAGAAAAAGCAAACACAATGAAAATAATAATATTATTTTGAAGTGAATTCTGGGCTTTTTTTATGCTGTGCTCAGCTGAACATTATGTGGCGGAGCTATGGATGTTAAAATTAGAGCTGAAAAGAAAAATGCCAAATATATGAGCTGGTGAGGACAAATTTGTAACTAAAATGTTTAGCTCACATAAACTAGCAATGATGGATTTATTCCTAAAAGGATTTGATTGGTATAACCTTTCTTTAGGGGTCTCAAAAAAAGCATTAAGCTTAGCAGAATATGATCTAAACCAGCTCCAGCCAGCATGATAAGGCAAATTTTGAAAGTTACCTTGGAAATCCTGAGGGGACTATCCCTTTAAGGTGGAAGACGCCTGCAAAAATTTCACAGCTCAATTAATTTTGTGATGTACTTTGTCAGGGTGTTTCATCCTGGTTTGGTGCATGCAGGGTCCAAGCTTGCAGTGCACAGGATGCTTACCTATAAAACGTATTATTCTTCGAAGCAGTGGGTTCAGGTAACAGCACTCTCCAGTCAAAATAGTTTTCTCTTGAATAATGAGGGTTTCTCGGGTTGACTTTATGAAATACATGGATATCTCACCAATAAAAATCTGCCAAGGGAAGAGAAAGAAACAGAAGGTTAAAAATTACATGAGCAAGCGCTAAAACATGGGTGACTAGTTCCACCCCACAGCCAGTGCTACACAGACATTTATTTTGGGGACACTGCACTTGCACTGTGGGGCTCAGCATGACTGACACACACCCAACTCCCACCCTGGAGGGTGCACTCAGTGGTGCAGAGACGCAGAGAAGGTGACTTCACTCATGGAGTGGATTGTGGTGATGCACCTCTCCTTCCTCTCCTAGCTGCACTATGAGTTGAGAAATGCTCCTCAAGCCTTGGCCTTGATAAGCTGCACCTGGACTAAGCCCCTGTTGAGCATATCAGAAATGCTGTCTGTTCCCAGGAACTCTGCCATCCAACTAGCACTTGTTTTTTCACAAACAGTGTTGGAAACTTATTTTTCTTGTCTGCATAATAATCCCAGTGAGATAATATTTTTGTTGTTGAACTTTCAAAAGGAAGCTACCAACTTGAATTGTGCCCTGGGTGGAAGATTGCCATAACTAAAGCCCATTCTCTTGTGACCCTCTAAACAAGGGTTCGAAGTGAGACCCTTTTTGAGCTCTCAGTTCCCAGAAGGGGGTAGTGAGTATGTCTCAAACACTGATAGCTGGATGGCCATGGAGCCAACCAAGGACTGTTGGCAATAACAGACCAGAAATGTTTGTAATAACCAAGGATTGTTGTTTTTAAAACACTGTGAGAAAGAACAGTATTTTACTAATGTTCTACTGTCAAAAATTATGTCTCCAAAGAACACGGATCATGATGTTAGCTGTGCTTATGTGTTACATATTTGTGTATGATCTGAACATTCATGCTTTCTATAAATGTCATAGCTGCTTCCCATAGGAGTAGGATCATTATTTCTTAAGCACTTAGAACTAATTTAATTCTGTTGCACTGAGGCCTATCTGCCCTCACTAAAGGTGAACAGAATTTAATCACAGGCTTTAGAGGCATTGACAGTCCACACACAGCAGGAACTTCTGAAAATATTACCTATCATTCTGTCAGCAGGCTTTCGAAAGGGAAACTGGGGCTCTTTTAGAAAGACAGAGTTTTTAATTAAAGTATTTAAAATTAAAAAAAAAACCAACAAAACACCTGAAGTGGAAGAAATTAGCTTTAATGGGGAGCACTAAAAAATTATTAATTTAATACATTATTACAGGACATACACAAGAGAAATCCATAGTGTTAGGGAACAGTCAAAAAAATGCATAACAGAAGTGTTTGTGTACACACCACACACACAGGGTGGCACAGACACCCTGTTAGTATAAATGTCAAGGAAGTCACCTCAGTTCACTCTGACTGCTGGAATGGTGTGTTGTTTCAAGGGCAACAATTTATCCTTATTATGTCAGATGAGCATCCTTATTGATTATTGATATTCAAGCCAAGTGTGCTCAACCTCTTTATAATTCTGCCCACCGATGGCAAGAGATGTGAAGCTGTAAAATACATGTTGATAATGGCATCTGGAGGGGAGCTGATGAATGGGAGCTGCACTGAAATATTGCCTTTATCCCATTTCACTCCATCTGATCTTAAAGAATTGGCAAGCAGTTCAATAAGCTCAGCTCACTAACGATGGGGCTGAGAGTTAAGAAAAAGACAATCTGCACTAAAGCAGTTCTGAAGTGACATTCTGTTTCAAACTTGAATTATTTTTATTACTTGAATTATTACTTGAATTATTGCAATGTTCAGAAGTTTGAATTACTGCTTTGGCTTTCTGTCTGCCCAGGGCTGTACATACACACTGAGAGACAATTCAGACCCTGAGGGAATTCTATTCTATGAACACAGGGGCTACTCAACTTTAAAATTTCCTAAAATTTTTTAAAAATGAGAGACTTAAGTATAAAACATACTAATAGTCCTTCTGTAACAATACATCCATCTTTAAAGTTCCTTTACATCAGAAGTTAACAGAGAATTTTCCTGCTTCAATTCCCATCTTTGTTTCTATAAATCTAGCTGTCTGGCATACTCCTAAAAACTCCCACGTGCATAGATTAGTTCCACTTAGATTTAGGAGTAAATTTTGCCAGGCTGTAAATCTGTTCAATTCCATTCCACTGATTTAAGAAGAATTATTCAAGATTTCCTACAGCATAACCGTTCAAAATTTTATTTTTAAAAATGAATACTGCCTTCAGTTTCATGCAGAGTTTAGGTATATGGCAATAAAGCTGTGTTTGTGTGGCAATATAAAGTGATTGAACATAATTGCACCATTCTCGTTATGTCACCGTGGCACTGAATTTAGTTGCTGAAATTTTGTTGCAGTGTGTTTCTTGTTAATGGTATGTTCTGTTATTACCTAAGTTGATGGTTTGGTCCAAATGAGACCCTCCCACCCCATGTTGTCAATCTACCCTGAGTCTCCTGTCAATCTGTCTTAGGCCCACTGCATGCTTGGAATTCCACTTCGGAAATCCCCTAAACTTTGACGCTTGATTAGTCCATGTGACCCAACTTTCCCCCACTACCTCCCTCACTGGATGATGATTTTGTGAACTCTGCCTTTTACCCTCCCCAGGATATCTCTGATTAGCTGATGCTTTGTACCCTCCCTTTGAACTGCCATCCCATTTCAGCTGTTGCACGCTCACATTTTCTGTCTTTTGCCCCCAAGATTCTCCAGAGCAATAAATCCTTTGCTATCCCATGCAAAAGACCTCCCTGTCGTCCTTGTCTCCTCAGAGCACAGAGTGACAGCCAAAAAGCCGTAGAGCAAGTGCTCTGGTCACACCTTGGGTCATCCTGCTCCTGGGGTGTGACCCACTCCTGTCACAAGCCGAAGTGATAAAGCCAGATAAGCTCCAGCGAGATGCGATAAAATTTGTTTTCCTATATGCTTAATACGGGCTTTCTAGAAAGTCAGCCTTGCTGTTTCCTAAAAATTCAATGGGCAATTGGAAACCTGATTCTGAAAGCTAATCTGTCTGTATGCAGTTGAATGTGGTCTGAATAGCTCTCAAAGAACTTGTTTTTTCTCCCAGGCATTTCTGAAATCAAGTAATTCCACTGATTCTCATGATTTAAACCCTGATGATACTGCATGAGTAGGGTCCACATCCAGCCAAGCTGTCCAGCTGGCCTCCTAAAATCAATCACTGGCACTACTGAATACCTCAGCTCCTGCCAAAACAGAATCAGCACTCCAGGAATGGTTACAAATCAGTTCTGTAGCTGATATCTAAATATAGACTCTGTATCAAAATATGGGTGGAAAAATAAAACAGCAAACAAACTGCTTTTCTTTCTGTTTGGGAAAAAAATGCAAGGTTAATGAACTTCTGTATCATACTGGCTTAATTAGACAGTAGAAATGTCAGGAGAATTGCTTCTAGATTGAAAGCACAAGTGATGTGCAGTCTGGCACGTGCAGGTAATACGGAAACAAAGGTAGTGCCCTGGATGTGTTTTTGTTCTTGGTTTCCTGAATGCAATTGCAGCTCATCTACACTGAGGACTTATTGCTTGAGAAGTCTTGCTCACATTTCATTTCTTATTACTAGCAGGTAAAAATACAAGGATGACCCAAATCACCAGTATGAATTAGAAGTACCTACCCAGCACTCATTTTTCCTCTGCTGATTTCAGCCTCTCCACGGAGAAAACTTCCTCAATTTTCCCTACCTTCATATTGTTGGCAGTGTCATCAAATATTGGCCCCTCAGTGTTCAGCTCTCAAAGCCCTCTGCTGCACACGCTTTACTTATTTCCTGGCTCATCCTGACCCAGCAGATGATAAAATTATCTGTCCATTTTCCTCTTCAACAGTCTTTTATCCATGATAGTCCTTTAGCTGACATTTTCAGACAGTGAAATGTCTCATTTTCCCCTTTCAAGTTCTCAGCACAGCATAGCACCTGATACTCCCTGCACTCCTGTACAGATTACCAACAGTTTGTAAATTTAATTATCAATTTAATCAACAAAATAATGGAACTATTGCTTTTAAAGGGACATGGAATCTTTTTTTTTCCTATAGCACTTTCTGATAAGCTCACACAAAGGATCATTTGCACAACTTTGTTCCAAGAAAAAAAAATAAAATTATGTAAACATCAAGAAGACCTGTTTCTGTGATGATAAACTAAAACTATTCAGGAATGTGTCTGGTACAACCAAGAGGAGGTTGCAGAAGAGTGACATCCTGGAGCTGCTCTCCAGTGGCAATTGTGCAGTGGGGTGAGGAGCTGACTTGAAGCGTTGTATTAAATTGAGAAGAGTAATTATTTATGGTGCTGATAGCCATGGATGAGCCCAGCTTTTAACTTCCTTTGTTCCTTTTATCAGTTCTTCTCATTCAGGACATTGGCCTTGTACCTCAGTTTGTTATAAATTATATTGTGATATTGGCTTTTGCAGGTATTAAGATGAATATTATATGTTAAATACTTTTTGGCCATGTATGTACTTTTTTTTCTTGCTAACAAGTTTTAAGCTTAAAGGAATCTCGTAAGTACCATCAAGGAAACCCCAGAGGGCAAAGACAGTGGGGCCCAAGCTGTTATCAGCGGAAGAACAATATAGCCCAAACTGTTATCAGCGGAAGATATGAAGCCCAGCTACTCTCAAAGGAAGGATGACGGGCCCGGACTGTTATCAACACTGACCATTTGCAGAAGAAAGGAAACCAAACTCCAAAATAATGCTCATCAGCAAGAATAATGATGACCAGCAAAAACAGTACTGACCAGCAGAAAATAAAAATTGTGCAAAAGCATATTCTAAGAAGGCAGAACTAGGGAGGGGACATGCTTGAATATGCATAAAATCCTCACAGCAGGAGGGGATAAAAAGAGTGTTCCCAAGATACCAGGTGTGTTCCTGGCAACCCGCCAGGGCACCCGGCCGTTTTAACCCTTTGCTTTATTTATTTTGTCTCCTAATTGTCTTTTTGTTTATATTAAATTCTTTTTATAATTTATTAAGCGAATCTCATTTTTAATAAGTTCAAAT